CCATGGCACAGACTTCTAAAACTTCAGTCTTTGAGCTCTGTTGGTTATAAAAACTCATGATAATCAGCCCCTCTCGTATTCCCAGTCAATGGTTTTGGGGAAGTGTTTTCCTTTGGTGATCTCCTGTGCACTGTTCTCTCTCTCTCCCCCTCCCTTTTTCCCTCCCTCTCTGTCTCTGTCTCTCTCTCCTCTCTCTGTGATCAGGGTTTCCTTCCCTCAGCTGCACCTGCGATTCTTTTCTCCCCTAAATCACGTCTCCATACCACCTACCTTCTATGATGTGGCCTCTTCTCTCCCTCTAGTTGTGCAGTTTGTTCTCTCCATTCTCAGATTGACTTATTGAGTGTTCAGAACGATTTGATATTTATCTAGCTGTGTTCAAGGGATGAGGCGAGCCTAGGGTCCTCCTCCTACTCCACCATCTTAACTCTCCTTGGGTATCTTGGAAATATTTTATAAATTCTATCTCAGAATTTACATTACTCAATGTTAAGGAAATAAGAGCAACTTTGGAAACAAGCACAATCTACCCCATTTCTTAAAAAAGCCTTTTATTCTGTCATTTAAATTTGTGCTTTATTCAATTTAGAGAGAAATAAAGAATTTGAAAAATACTTAAGTGAATCAAATTATTTAGAATTAGAAAATTATAAATTTTTAGAAATGGAGGAAAGTCTGAAAGCATAAGCAGAAATATGCTTGCTAGACCCAGGAAAAGGAATTCCTGATAAGACTGTGAGAAATGACAGGTTATTCTATATTTGAAAGATTCTGACTGCCTATTTTTCTGGGATTAGGGTAAATATATTAAATTATCCCTCATAGACTTAGTCCTGATCCATTTCAGAATTATTATTCTATGAAAGTTCACTAAGTAATACCAATACTGGATTTTGCATTTTTCTAGATCTTTCCCCAGGTTAAAGCGCTTGCATATAAAGCCAAAATGTATGTACACTCTAGAACACATGTGTATGAAATATATGCTTTTTTCCTAAGGATGATTTTTTCATATATATGTGAAGTAATTTTCTGTTTCTTTTACATTTTCCTAAATAAGATGGCAAAAAAGGAATTTCATAGAAAAATGTGATAAATCAGTGACCTTTTTACTTTTAAAGTATCGTTAAATAGAGTAACCGGCTTCAGAACTTCTATTTTCCAAACAAAAGATGTCTTTGAATAAAAGCATTTTAAGAAAAGCCTCCCTCCAATGATGTATCAAATTCCTTATTAAGGCATATTTGATATTTTTCTTTGAAATTTTATTTAAAAAAAAAATCTCTCATAAGTAGAAGCAATGCGTGCTAGTCAACCACAGCACTGAAATCATCTTTCCTCTGAGCTTAAGGTAGGGATGCTAAGAGGATTTTATTCCAAAGCACAGTGGATCTCAAACATCAAATAAATCTCCAGCTACATATGAATCCAAAGGAAAGGCCCATCATCAGCATTTACTATGCATCACAGTGGCTTTTCACAACTAAGTAGATACTCTTAGGCTTACTATTTGAAGGCATGCCCTCTTTGGCGTCAAAATTTCCAACTACTTTATAACAATCACGGGAAACCCAGCTTCCATAATGCAGTCAGAATTCCTCTTCTCTAGGGTACACTCATAAGCAAAGGGAAGGGGTAAGTTGATGGAAACAACTTGCACAGCTATTTTCTTCACTATCTCCAATCTGGTTATAGATAGAAGACATCTGTCTTCAAAATTGCTGTCACCACAGTGTTCCATGCTTTCCTAATCCCTATATTGGACTGCAGCAATCTTCTGTGGGATCCAGCTTTGGGGACCTGCTGGTGCAGAACGGAGGCCACACAAGCCATTTGAAATGCGAAAGAGCCACGCCGTGCTTTGTGAGCTGTACCAGTTACATATTTGCTTCCAAATGAAGTTGAGTTGATATGTTCTAAAAGTCCTTGTATTACATAAATTCTGGTTTTCTTTTTTTTTTTTTAAAGATTTTATTTATTTATTTGAGAGAGAGAATGAGAGAGAGAGAGCAGGAGAGCGGGGAGGGTCAGAGGGAGAAGCAGACTCCCTGCCAAGCGGGGAGCCCAATGCGGGACTCGATCCTGGGACTCCAGGATCATGACCTGAGCCAAAGGCAGTCGCTTAACCAACTGAGCCACCCAGGCGCCCAAATTCTGGTTTTCTTAGAAATTGGCCATCCTTATGCAGCTCGGCTGGTGTGCAGTTGCTAAAAGTCTCTGCATTTATATTTCAGGGACCTGAAGGAGCAGTGGGCCTGAACTGTTATTTCCCACCTGTTTCAATCCAAATATTCTTCAGGACTCATTCAGTATCTTTTGTATGAAAAGCATGCCCGCCCCTCCACAATGGGTAATATACCAGGGGATTAAAACACACTACTATTATCGTTTCATGACTCTAATTAGTTTGAATGTTCAAAATGAGCCTAAGTTATCAACCATGCTATTACCCTGCAGTAAATGGTAGGTACTGTGTGGATGCTTCAGATCACTGTTTTCTTAACTGTTCATGGATCAGCATGAACTCAATGTTCAAAGACAGCAGAGGCTTGGTAAGCAGTCTTACACATCAAAAAGAGCTAATGTACTTTTCATAATTAGTTTACACAGTTAGAACATCAGAAAATAATGATAAAATGCTATGTATGGTTCCCCTCCTTCAGAAGAGCTGTTGATATCCATCCAGTGTTTCTTATGAATTTTTTCAGATTTTTGTTACCATATGAGAAAACTGTGACATGCTTTAAAAAAGGCAGGTATTCTAAGCCAAAAGAGTGATTTTAAATTATACCTTTTCTACATATACAACAACCATTACCCCAACTGCTACTCTACTCTAGGAAAAATTAACACACACACAGGGCTTGAGATGCTAACAAAGTTTATATAAAGATGATGCTTTCAATCATATACAATCAGTTGAGGTCTGCTACCAACGAGGCTGTGCTGTTATCTTTCAAAACACACAAAGTAATGATGAACTAACTAATGGCCATCACAGCTCTAAGAAAAACAGTTCCTATAAGGGTGGCTATACTTAAGAGGATAAATAAGAACGGAAAGGACTTATTGATTTCTTATCCACGAAAAGATAACGGAGAGGCAGGGTGGCATCACTTAGAGCAGGTGCATAGTATTACAGAGCAATTTGTATATTTTTTAAAGAAACACAGCACCATATTGCAAATAGAGACACAAAGAAGAACTACAGTTCCAATTAGGACGAAACCAGCCACTCTAGGCCATAAAACAACAGGAGGCATCCCAGTATCGATACCTGAGAAATACTGCCACTTGTTATCTACCCATATCGCTCACTCAAAACATGACCCAGGAGACTCAGGGCCAGTCTAAACACTTCAGAAACCATCCAGAGCCGTATGGCACACTATTCTTTCAGACCTCAGGAGTAAAAGTTAGCCAGAGCCTACTGACATACCAAAATGATTTATTATCACAGGGCTGAAGTAATGCATTCTGCTTTACAACTCTCCTGGCAGTCCAGGGGAGAGGCTTCGTTTATTACGTACAGTACATAATGCCCGCTGAAGAGCTCTGTATTATTCATAAGACTGCCTTTTTTGTGCCATCATAATGCTGATAAATTATGAAAAAATGCATATTTTATTTCAATTTATAACATATTGTTGTATACATATCAATATATCACATTGCAGCAGGCGGAGCAAGTATTATTGCTGACAGCTGTCGACACGCTTCAATAAAAACCAAACAAAGGGGCTTCTCCAATAATCCTAAGTCACAACTAGCATTCCAAATAAAAAGCTACTTCTTTCTCTCATAATGTTTAGAAGGGAATTGCAGAAATGTCAGTGCTGAATAAGGGAAAAACTTCGGGGAAAACCTCAAGTGATATTTGTAATTTTCTACCCAGGGTTCACTGAGCGGGGGCGGGGGGGAGGTGCTTTCTATGCTAAATAGTAAGGCTTCTGGAGGAAATGTAGGTCCTCAAGTAAAGAACAGGAAGTCTAGTGTATGAAGGAGAGTTCCTGTTAGAGTTTGTTATTATTTTATTTGGTTTCTTTCTCTTTCTTTTCTTGCCTTAGATGGTGAGGTGCTTAATTCTAAAACGTTCTGAGAGGAAGGTCCTTGAAGAAGACTAGCAATTTTCCATTAACTCAGACTTCCTTGGCAGTTTTCCATTTTCCAACTTATTTTCACATTAGTCAGGCTGCATAACAGCCAACTGGTGTTTGGATCTTTGCAAAGTAAATTTAGTAATTTCCTTTTTTTATTCCATGTATGAAGGAATAGTTTAAATGTCATAAATAAAAGCTAATTTGGAGTAATTGATACTATTAATAAGGGCAAGTTTCTTTTAGACATCAAGAATCCAACTGATACGATTTTGAGCTGAGAATGATCTTAGAGCTCATCAGTTTAACTACTTCTTTTTACAAATCAGAAATCTGAGCCCTTAAGTCAAGTGACTGCTCTAGGTCATGCCTCTAGCAGAGCCATGGTTAGAATGCAGGTTTGTCTAATTTAGTCTATTATTCCGAGTGGCCTTTCTGGAGTTTAAAATACTATTTTATACATATAAAATGATTTAAATGATGTTTGAATAGAATGATCTACTTCTACCTATGCTGCAGAGGCTAGCCAGCATGGGAAGGCTACAACATCTACCTGGGATGTGTTTTTATGTCTAAGTAAGGAAAATTTACTCACCAGAAAAAAAAACACACTTCCAAACCTAAATAACATAGACTACAAAAATAACATAAAGACTAAAATATCAAATGATTGATACGGAACAACATGCCATATGTTTAAAAACGTAAATGGCCATCACTTTGTGTATATGGGGTATCTCCTCACATGTCCCCCGGCTCATCCGCCACAGTGATCTCCACACAGTGCTCCCTCACTGCCCTGTGGATCTTCTGCCAACAGTGACGTCCGAAACAGAGACTTCCAGGGAGCACCTGAGTATTTATTCTTCCTGGTGGTGACACATCCATGTACACATCCAGCCACATGTGCCTCCCAGGGCAGTGAGAGAACCAGAAACTTTGTTTAAACAGAACCTGCTTTCATTTAATGAAATGGGATTCTTGAACAGCCATGTGCATTCACTATTTCACAGATCTTTGATTTGTGCCCCATTTTATCATGCAGACCTGGGCAGAGATAAGCTGGGGAAGTTTCAGGGTCCGGGTGTGGGGAAGAGAACGAGAGCATCTCTGAAGGGGTTGGAGTGGGGAGGGGCAAGTCTCTCATGGCTGCTGAAGTTTGCAGTGAGCTCCCACCAAAGGAAAAAGTACCTATAAAGGAGAAAGGGAACCTTCTGAGTCTCAACATCCTCATTTAGTATCTACCCTAGAACCCAAGTCAGATTTTATGCTGTTGTTTTCTACCAAATAGGATAGCTCTGCAGAGTGATGAAGGAAGTCTTTAAACTAAAGAAAAAGAAACAAAAAACTCTGGATGTGTCTTGCAGGTCCCCTTTTATTAACCATCATAGTTTTAATCACTATAGTCTCTTTATACTCTATCCTGAATACTATTATAATTATCTTCAACTCTATTTCTTTGTCTCAACAAATCTCATTTTCCTCCATTAAAAGCATTAGTGTTCACATGTAAATGGTAATGTGTTTGATTTCCACATTTTCAGTTTTAAAAATTCACACTTCACACAGACTGGACCCAGGTTCAGTTAATATTCTCACCTGAGGACATAGAGACTTAAATAAAAAAAATAGCTTTCTCTAGAGAAACCCAAATAGAAATTAATGAACTCAAGAATAGTTGCTCCCACCTATTACTGGGAATTAGCTCTTATCTTTAACCACCACAGCCGTCATTTTTTATACGATGAAGATTAGCTACTTCTTATTTAGGTTCATAAATTGTGCGAAGGTGTTTTAGCTTTTTAGGTTTCAATAACTGGCTCCTTCATTTGCATACAATCAAAGCTAAGATAACTAGGCATAATATTTCACCAATTTTATTTTATTTTTTATTGTTTGATTTGTCATTCTTAAATATTTTGGAGCTGCAGGGAACCCTAAGAGTCTCTCCAGCTCATCCTTCTTTTATAAGATGACGTATGCCAAAATGTTTGACTTGCTTAAAGAGTGACAAGAGAAGTGGTTCCCAAACTTAATCGGCCCAAACACTTGAGAAACAGTGTGTCCCCAAGCCTGCCTATGACTCTGACTTCCCACTGGCCTTCGAGATTCACTAAACAAGAAGCTTAGAATGTTGCTATTTTCACATTACATGGTCTTATTTTTAATGTCTTAGAAATCCTCCAGAGTTACTAATATGACAGGATATTGAAATAGAACTTGTTTTCTTTTCCTCCATTTCTGGCTGAAGGCCCAAAGGCTGAGATAAGCGTCTTTACCCTCACAACCTGAGTGATCGCTAGATCACCAGGCAAGACTTGCAAAGATGATGTTCCAAACCAAATATGAGCCCCTCCCCCACCGCTTTTTTAAGATTTTATTTATTTATTTGAGAGCGAGAGAGAGCATGAGCAGGGGGGAGGGGCAGAGGGAGAGGGAGAAGCAGGCTTCCTGTTGAGCAGGGAGCCCAATGTAGGACTCTTATCTGAGGACTCTGGGATCATGACCTGAGCTGAAGGCAGACGCTTAACCAACTGAGCCACCCAGGTGTCCCAAATACTGAGACCCTAAATTCAATCTGTACTTTGAAGATCTTCAGAAATCAGAGGAGCCAGGGAATGGGACGGTTTGGGACAGAATCTCTTCGGTGTGAGCTGTTGCACGCTCCTGTCTTCCCACCATCCCCTCGCTGCCAGCTGAGGAAGAGCGGCTGTAAGGGAACTACTGGAGAAGGGTTAACTCTGAGTGAAGGGGGAATTTTGACTATTAAGAGCTGTTTTGTCATCAGAAGTGACTGAAGCTACGAGACTGCTTTGACATTTCATCAGAGGCATGAATGTAAGCAGCCCACCACAGGGTTTTAGGGGCAGAAGGGAAAATACTGCTTTATTCTGCACTCTATTGAGTTCTGCTCTTTCAATGTAATCGTTACACAAAGTAACCTTTTGTAAAGTCAATAAACCTGTTCATTTAACAGACTGCTGAGATGAACTAATGCCTGTACATTAACCCATCTCAACGATTAACCTTCTGCACAAAAGAAATTAAAAAGTCCTCTTGCATTTGGTGAAAAAACATCATCCTGGATAATAACTTTTCTTCTCACTGCATCTTGTGTCTGTTTTTCCTTCTATGGCTTGTGAATGTACCATAAGACTCAGCTTGGAGAACGTATCCAATCATAGCCTTATAAAAAGCCTCCACTGCATTCAGTCCTGTTACCTTCCAGGTCATGCATATATCAAAGGGTAAAAATGATTTAACTTTGAGTACAGCCAGGGAATGGGAGGAAAAGAATCACCCAAGTGTCCATGCAAACACATTGAGTGCCAAAGGTCTGTGCTGACTTATGGCCACAGCTTTTACATCTAAGAGAGCCATTAGCATAATTGGCTTTTGGATGAGATGGAGGCCATTAGCCTTAAATTCTTCGCTGAGGACTAAAATGTCTAACTATCCCTTTTATTCTACATTACCTTTCGTATGCTCACATAAATTATCTTCCTTTCTCCCAGACATAAGGAAAAAAAAATCATCTTTCTCCATACTGAACCTCTGTGTGAATTCTATCCGTGGCTGTTAATCTACCAAAGAGAAATCGATTTCCTCTAAAAAACACTGCTTTTGCTCCACACCAAAGGGCAGTCTCCTCGGTCGTTGCAACCAGAGCCATTCCCCAACCTTATTTCAGTTGGAGTTTACACCTTCCTTCCATCAGTAACTCTGGATTAGTGTTGGCACAGCTGGAGATAGTGCACTGATTAGTCCCGCTACCCTAGTCTAGGGAGTCGATGTCCCACCCCCCTGCACCAGGTGAGAAATCGCCATAGTGAGCATAAGGCGAGGAAGAGACTGGGACAAGGAGGCTCGCCATCTGTTTGTGGACACCATACCTGGACTGTGAATGAGCACCTGAGTTCACAGCGCTCAGAATCAAAGCCGCCTCTTGCCTCAACAGGGATTCACTACCGCAGTGTCTCCAAGCTAAAGTACCCGCCCCACACTCTTGCCCATTCTATTTTCAGCACTAGCCCTGTATTTAGAGGCGACAGGATTTTATATTTTTAGCATTATAAATTAGCTCAAACTCCATGAAAAACAAAAAGGCTTCATTTGATGGGAAGCGGAGTTTTAGGCCCAAATTCAGATGCTTGGATACTCTGCCATCTGCTGGCTTATGTATGGAATGTTTAAAATCCCGGTACATTCTTACTGGGGTGTTTTTTTTTTTTTGGACATTTTCATTGTTCAGCAGGATTTATGAAGTTGATTTTTTTTTAAATTACAAGTTAAAGAACACACTCAACTCATTGCTAGGAATTAATCTTTTTAAAAATAAGTTTTGTTTTAGAACAGATTTAGAAACAAATTGTGAACCAAGTACAAAGAGTTTCCCATACACCCACATCCAGTTTTCCCCATCGTTCACATCTTACATGAGTATGGTACATTTGTCACACTAACAATAGTGAGGCATTGTTATTAACTAAGTAGAAATGGGTCCTTGAAAATGACAAATCCTGCTGCCTCTGGTTATCCAAGCAAACGTAGGGTATGAACCACAAGTGAGTCATTCAGAATAGCTAACATTCTTGCCTGGCATTGTGCTCACTGCTTTACATACATAAGCCCACGTAATTCTCACATCAGCCCACTAAATAGGTATTACTATCTTGTTATCCCCATTCTCCCAATTAGGAAAATAGAGCTCATAGTGATGCTGGCCCTAACACTATAACATTTGACCTTGGGCAAATTTTATTCAAAGAACCTCTCATAAATTTATGGCAAGGCTTTAATCGATGAATACACAGGAAGCATTTAGAAGTGTCTATGGCACATGGTGGGCATAAAATAATCTCCAGATCTATCTAAGGACAGAGTCTACTCCTTAAGCCACTATAATATACTCACGGGAGTTCTTAAGACACTGTAGAACAGCCAGTTGGCTTTTCCTTTGTATAAATTATTTTCTCTTATGGCTTCTACTCTCTTACTCTCTTGAATTGCCTGTGTTTCTTTTTTTTTTTCCATTAAAATTCCCCCTTTGCACTTCCCCATGAAATTTTAGCACCACAGATACACTGCATGTCTGTTTATATACCGTGGTCCTTTGGAGGGCCATGAACTATTGTAATATCTGGGAAGCGAGGGGGATTGCCCTCCAAGAACCAATTTTTGCCCCTTTGGGGCTGATCATCATCCCCACTGAGAATACTCTAGGCTTATCAAACCATTCACCCTTCCTCTTAATAACATAAAATTGCTGCTAGTTAACCACATCTACAAAGATAGAAATATATAAATCTGGAGCCTCCTCCATGCCTGTGACTTTTACCCAACTCCGAAGCTCACAAGCATTCTCATATCTTCACTATTCTCCCATCCCTCTGAATCACCTTCATTCTTCATATCAAGCCTTACCTTTTCCCTGAATGATTTTCTTAGGATCAACTGTGCTTCATTTTTTCTTTCAAAAAACCCCCTTTACACATTCACTGTGACCCTTATAGTCAGGTATCAAAAAGCTCTCCTCCAGTCTTGTGGCCAGCCATATCTGAGTTTGAGTCCTATATCCTTCACTTATTACATATCTATTGCCTTATATATGATACAATAATCCCTCAGATTCTGTTTTCTTTAAATGTCTACAGCACATTCTCATAAAATTTTAGAGGAGATAAATAAAATAACACCAACCACCTAGCATAGACCCTAGCATGTAATGGGTAAGGATGGGTATCAGAGGGACTCTATCTCCTGCCACCCCACCAGGTCACTCCATGAGCTTGCTTTTTCTAAGCTTATTGTTCAATCTACTGCAAAGCTCATGTCAATGACTTGGCCATTCAACCACTTAATGGGAAAGAGCTGAATGTTTGAATTTTTGGCAATTTAAACTAAAAAAAAAAAGTTGGGGCTTACATTCTAGTGGAGGGATCCTTCCAGTAAAGATAAATATATAACATACCAAGTGATGATAAGTATTATGGAGAAAATAAAGGAGGAGGACTCTCATGATGGGGGAGAATGCTAATTTGTGTAAAGTGATTAGAAAGACCTTATCTGAAATATGGACTTTTTATCAGACTTAAATGAGAACATGAGCCATGCAGTTCTCTAGTATAAGTGTCCTTAAGCATATCCACCCTCCCTCTCAGAGCTGCCTCTAAAGTCAATTTAATCCTACA